CATTTGGCATATCTGCTGTAATTAACCCCACCCCCTAAACAACCACCAGCAACAGAATTAGAACATTTATTACTGCATAATAAATAAGGATACTTCCTGCTCATTCAGCACAGCCTAAAGCTGCCAGAACATTCCTTTTACCAGCGCTACTCCTCACAATTACAACAGGAGAATCAGGACTTCTCCCTCAAAAATACTGCGTTAAACTGAACGCGAGATAGTAGCACAACGCTTTCAGATAACTCTGGTACAGGCACACCATAACTGTTCAAGAAGAACAAACTTTTCAACTTCAATCCACTTCTCAGAATTATGAGATTCAGCAGGGAGAAAAGTGGCTAAATGGATGATTTTGCACGTTTTGATTAGCAAAGAAACCTAAACTGTATTTTCACATTCTCACTATGTATTACTATATATTATACATCTATATATTACTATATTCATCTAAAAAATAATGTCAGGAGTTAGAGTGTGTTGTTTTCAAACAGGTTCGGAGAGTCATTGCTCTTCCGACCCTGGAGTTTGTGATATTCAGTGTTATTCGGCTTCAGTGGGACAAGAACGTTAACCAAGAACTTGAGCCCAAAATCAAATGATGCACTGGACCTTGTCATCAGTAGTGAGAATGTGTACCATGTTGTATGGAGGACATAAAGATGAGTGTGCATAGTGGTCTTACCACCTGCCCCAGCCTGACATGGAATGTTCTTAGCCTCACATAGAAGAAATTACATGTTGTAGAAAATAGTGGTGGGTAAATGATCCCAGTGCCTTACAGATAACATTCATATTAGTCTTCTCCAAAACTCACCAGTCCTCTTATCCAATGTTAATGTAGCAATGGAAAACATACAAAAAAAGCCTTTGTGTCAGGCTGTGCATTGGGCACAAAATCTAAACAAGTATTTAGAATAGCTAGAGGATATATGCAAAATCAGGTCCTCATTACAGAGCGACAGAAGATGTATTTTTTATACAGCAACATTTGTATCTTTAATGGCAGCTGATTCATCTTTCTCCAGACATGCAGATCTGAGAGAGAATGGTTAATCTTTTTTCCACAGTTTGAAAGAGGAGCCCAAAAGTAATTCTGCATCCCACAGCCTGAAAAGGGATGAAGTTTTACAGGCATTCCAAAGAAGACCATTTTAGCTTCAAGCTGTTGAGTGAGGTCTGGAAACGGAAGAGCCCCAGTCTGACAGCAGTAAGTGAAAAGGCCATGCTCTAGTTCTCTTGAGGCAGCATGGGGCATGCCAGGGTTTTTTTTTCTGTTTTACTTTTTCAAAGCTGCTGTAAGAAGCAAACGCAGTAAAATAAATGTTCTATAAAAGGAAGACTTCTTTTCCCACATTAAAGTGCAAATTAAACTTTGCTCTGTGGTGGCACTTTTTAGAAAGGTGTAAGGAATGCCCAACCAAGTAGGCAATGGACTGAACATTACCAAGGAATTTAAATGTGTTTCACAAGCCCCATATGGTGAGAAAAGCTCTCCTGACAACACATGCGTAAGAGCCAGATGCTGAAAGAAACAAGTATAGATAGGATGTCTGATCCTGCAGTTCTCACGTGGGGAAAAATCCCTTTGAAGTCCACAGGAATGTGAGCAAGGATTGCAGCTTCTATCACTTTTCTGTCATCCTCTATCATGCATCTAATTTAAAAGCACGATTTCCATCTGAAAGGCTAATTCTCATCTTTCTTCCCCTCCTTATACCATTTTCTTCTTTAGCAGCTATTTTTAGCCTAATTCAGCTGCCTATGTGATGTAACCAGATCATTCAGCACCTGTTATTGAATTATTAAAGGGAAAACTATGCAGAGAAATGTGTTATAATTTAAAGACAGCATTTATACTTCAAAAGGTAAATGACCTAGATTGATCCTCCTCTGGGGAACTGCTCCTGAGATCCTGCCAGCCCACACCCCAAAAGATATTACAGCAAACTAAATGCAGTTATCAGTCAGTGACTAGAGCTGTCATCATCCTGGGTGCAGATGGGTTGAGTTCTGTTGCTGTGCCTGCCTAACGGGGTATCAACACATTGCAGATACCAGCACAGGACTTGAAACAGGAAACCAGATTTCTGTGCAAACACTAGTCCAGTGGGCAGTTCTGAGGACCCCTATCTGAGCAGCAGACAGAAAAAGGGACACCAAGTCTATGGATCTTGATGTATTCTGAGATAAACCTGGTATTCCCAGACTCATCAAGATTTGAGGGAGCATGGACTTTCTCTACTGCCACTACTTTCAGCACATCTGTCCAGAAGTGGATTTTCTAGTCTCAGAATCTGGAACATTAAACACTGAAGACTGTAGTGCAGAGTATAGGAGGAGGTGGCAGTAAAACAAGAATTGTTAATACTGTAACTGGAAATTCAGGCACCCAGTTTCTTCTGTGGATCTACCCTGTCATAAACTAGAGCTCTTCAGGAAACATTGTGTTTGTTCTACTCTAACTGGCTTATGGAATGAAGGCCACGGTCCTCACACCTGATTATCTCCATGTATCAGGGCAGAGTGCATTGGATATTTTTAACCCAAACGCTGATGCTGTATTAACTACATTAAATCAAAGAACAAGTAAAAGCATGCTCCTTCCTGAATTAAAAAATGACTATGTTTACGCTTATTTATAAAGTTATTTTCTACTGTCAATATTAAAAGCAACATTGTAAAGAAAATGCATGCTCCTTAAGATTAAAACTTGAAAGGAAACCCCAGAACTACTAGATCAGGATTCACACATCCCCTTCTACTACAGAACTGGGGTTTAGGTTTGTGGAAGGGCTTTTTGCCTTTTTAGTTACTTTTATTATTATCATTATTATTAAAATCATCATTATATATTATCATTATCAATATAAAATTATCATTATATATTAAAAGCAACATTGTTTTTAGTTACTTTTATTATTATAATTATTGTTGTTACTATTTATTTATTTTTAGGTCTTAGGCTGACAAAGAACTTCCCTGTATTTGTTTAGTGTCTGCCCTGAAAAGACTTATAACCATGACAATCAGCATCCCACTTCTCTTGTTTGTAGTTCTCCCCATGTGCTCAGCAGAAAGGTGTCCAGTCAGCTTTTAAATGGAAAGGACAAAATGTACATGCATTGAGTGTATCTGTAATTTTTTTTCGCATACCTAGGATTTGTTTCCCATAGAAGTTTCCAGATTTATGCGTGAAACAAAACAGGCAGCAATGGTATTCTGAGTTTCTAGCTCCTGATGAAATTGGGGCTTTGGATGAATACTTACTTAACACTTCTTGTAACATATCTGTAATTGTGAGAAGGGACAGTAAGTGCTGAAGGTACTGTTCTGCCAGTTTTACTTAATGACAGATTGGAAATGGCTCCCCAGATGACTAGGCTGTGTGCTGTACCAAAACACACAGGAAAGAGTATGAGGTAAATGCAGCAATTTTGCTAAAATGCCGATCAAACTGGTCTTGCCAGTTTGTTCCCATACTGTAGAACATAAATATGAATCAGAATCATGCAGGTGAGCCTGACATGCAGGTTTCTACTGTAAAAAAAGTATAGGAGGTCCTCACTCTTTGATGAACTGTTCAAATTGACTTCCTAATTGTGTTGGAAAATAAATTTATTAATATTGAGCACAATTTAAATGGCATTTCAGTATAAAATACAAATAGCAGGATACCTCAATAAATCAGCAACCATGTATTTAAAACCAATACGATGCTCTTTTTTAGTAGCAAAAGCTGTGATTTTTTGAAGCTATTATAGACTATGAAAATAATACTGATGCCTGTTTTCTAACTTCAGTCTTCTTGTTGAAGGTTTTATGTTTGACTTTTAAGGTAGGCATTTTAAAGACTTTGAGAAAGTAACTATTTTGAACACATTAAATGTTGTGCTGATTATTTAAAACCGAAAATTATTTTACTTCTCAAAATTTGACAGGAAACACAAGCTTTAAGGTGCTGAAAACTCTTCCTATTTAAGCCTGTTATTCTCTATGCTGTAATTTCAATAGCTTAGAATAGCTAACCTTCAGGTAACCCCACACTGGGATAAAAATTATGTGAGACCCTCGTTGAGCATTTCCTGCAAGATAAATGAGTCAGATAGGTACAACATCTGCTATAAGTAGATGACACAAACCAGTTCCTCTTTTCAGTAATAATAAAGTGTCTTGTCTTTCAATACACTTTTAGTCTGCCTAATGGGATGCTCTGTGTATGCTAGTGTATTGTTTAACAAAAACAAAGAAACAAAAGGTACAACCAAACAGAAGCTTGCTGCCTTCAGGGCTCCCATGCAACTTTCTAGTATAACCAGTGAAGGTGGAACCTTGCAGGAGACACAGCATGCACTTTGCCAACTTTCTTCCATAAAACATATGGCATTTGCAACATACTGTCACAGTGAGTGAAAGATTAAACTTCCCAGTAGTTCTTGTTAAGATAAATTATCATCTGGCACAGCCAAATGTTATAATGATCCTGGCCCAGAAAAAGATTCTATTTAAGAAGCAATGGCTCTGGTTTAGCTCATTAGGTAGAACTTGTGCCCACTGGATCACGAGAGACCTAGACCACATCTATGTTATATGAACAGCAGAGCTAAACCTGCCAACTAATCAGTACTGTTCTAAATTCACCTCTTCAGCGGGTGGAGGAAAAATTGTGCTGGTTCTGCCTACACTTCAAACTCTGGAGGTGATCCAGTGAGAAAAGAGTGGAATAACATTTATTCAGCATAGACAACCATGAAATATGGACCCCAAAACAAACTGGAGAGCTGTTATTTGAGAAGTGTAGATGTTCCTTAAATTAAAAAAGAAAACCTAAAAAATAGTTCCTTTCAGAGTTAACAACTTACCTTAACTGGGTCCCATTTGAGGCTAAAGAGAGGTTTGTAGAAGAGCCCCAGTTATCTCACAGGGCTTTTGAACACCACATTATGCCTTATAATGACATTTATATTGAAATCAAGGGAGCAGCTACAGGAATCTGTTCTTACCAAGTTCTTGATACCCAGGGAAATGCAGGAGCAGAACTGAGGCTTCAGCCTTTGTCAGCGGAATATGTTGTACTCTTTTCACCAGTCCTGGAGTACCTATATGTAAAAATAAAACGTCATCAAAAAGGTCACACAAATTCAGCCACCAGATTCATCTTCACTAGCTATATTAGTGACAGGGTTTGCACCTTGAATCCTATTTTATAAATGTGGCTTATTTAAAGTAATAGAATATAAATATGGCTTTGACACAATTAACCCTGAAGCCTGATGGGAAATAACAAGACAACATCAACATTTTCTATAACATGATTTTAAGAAGGCTGAATTTCATTCCTCTAGCTTGCACCAAATGACTTGGAACTTGAAGAATAACCTTTTTTCTTTCATAAAATAGTATCTGTGAGCTCTGTCAATTTTAGTGCTCCCGCCTTGGTCTCTGGCAGCTGAATGCACATATAGTTATGCTTTTATTATCATCGCTTTTTAAACTCTGAAAGAAACCCTAGGTATTTTTTCCATGATCCATGGGAATGCATCTTTTACAGCAAGATTATCATTGGGTTTTAATTTCTTCTACTTTTTAAAAGTGTAGGATTTGATTCAGACGTTTATTTTCAAGCAGCCAATTACAAATGCCATTTTTACATTTTAAATTCATTCTTCCACTATAGGTCTAGTTTTATACACTGTAAACTGTCTTCCCATAGCCCTTAATTTTGCTGCATGAACTCTGGGGAAAGCATATACTCAGGTACGGTTGTCATCGTAGATACCAGACATCGATGTTACTTTTGATGTACAGAAGTAATTAACAATGTAATAACATGAAGTGAAAATCCTCATATTCTGTTTTGTCTTTCTTAGTTACTTTATGAAAAACAGCGAGGATTAACTGTATCCTTACCTTGCAACATTTCTGAGCAGCCTTTAGCTAAAAAGGCTAACTAAAAAGTTGATACACAAATGTAATGAAGAAAACACAAAGGGTGTATTTGTTACCTCACTAATAAGAGAGTTTTTCATTAGTGGTTTTCCATTACTGAACAAGTGGTCACTGTTCATATTTTTATTCCCCACAAAATATAAGAAAAGAGCTCAGAAAGCAATGGGGACATTCTTTTAGAAGCAATACTGATGAACTTGAACAGACAATGGGTATGAGTGGCAGATATTTCTTGAGTAATATTTCCATGTCTCTACAGGTATTCCCACTACAGAGTCCACATAACTGCTGAATCATTGCTAAATAAAGGTATACTTAATGTGCAGGCATGTAATTATATAATAAATTAGACTGATATACAAAGACAACACAGATTCCAAGACTGAGTCAGAAAATCTGGTGAGGACATCATGTGCTTAAAAGTCATGAGGATGTTTCATGATGTTCTTTCAAGGGAGAGGTTCTCTATAGCTCGTCTCTTTCTATGAACAAGTGGCATGTAAAATCTTGTGCAGATATTCCAGAGCACTATGCAAGGAGAGAATATACATCTAGAGAGAGAGACAGATGAAAGGCTGAGCACTGTTCACATATTGTTCATGTCTCTGGGTTATGATTTTCCTTGGAAGAAAGGGGGATATATTCCCTGTGAATGTGCATTTGGTACAGTTCATCTTTCATGAGTAATAGCTGAACATCACACATGGAATAGCTGTAATTTCTGATCTTCTATGGCAAAATCCCTGAAATAGTGTAAGCATGTAACAGTCATACAGTTACATTTGTAAGGGAAAGCTTCCTGTTTTTTTCTAAAAGTATGAATAGCTTAATATCAGTCTTCACTTTTCAAACATCTTTTTAACACTATGACCTATACCTGCATTTCTGAGAGAGGGAATATGAACTCCATTTCCTAATAAAATTATAGTAATTTAATGCAGCATACTGTAATATTAATAAAGTACATACCATACAATTATGGTGATTAACTTAAATTCCAATAAAGTTTTGTCTTTATGGAGAGTGTACTACATTATGCAACTGCTTCTGCCTCTGTTACAAAAATCATCTTTTAACACAGACAGAATCCTATTACAATGAAAGCTCCAATTCCATGAATGTATAAAGCAAAATCTTTCATTTTCAAATCTATTCTATGAAGGGCTGTTTCTCCACAGTAAGCTGAAAGTGATAAAGAATCTGTTTCAACTTTACCATCAGAAGACTAAGGCAAGACAGGGTTTATATTTTTGACTGTGTCCTGATTTCAGGACAATGGAAGTTATAATGGAAGGCATCATTTAGCACCTTATATGACTTTTCTCCAGAAAGCAAAGGATTTCATTCATTATGCTGGTTTGTTAAGGTTTATGAACTTCAGTCTAGGCAGGATTACATACCAAAGGGAAGCTATGTCCATGTGGAATGTCAGTGCTCATTATTTTAATGAAAATACTTCAAACTCAAGAAAATAACGTGAGTTATTAGAGAATTACAGAACACAGATATTTTTCATCTGCTCACTAAGTATGAAAGTATAAATCACGTGGAAAATAAGTAGCAATAATAATGATAATAATTTCAAGGCATTGTGTATCAGTTGGCTGGTAATTTTGAATGTAAGGAATCAAAGTCAGTACGGTTTGCAAAAGACAACTGTTGTGACAGACCATCCTTTTCAGATGTTGTGAGGGTGGCTAGTTCATTTACTCTGCTTACAAGACCTAATTTCTGATGAAACCTGCAGTTATTTCGGGTTAGTAAGACTTTCCTCATTTCATTACACTTTCGTGAGCTGTAAAAGTTTTTGAAGTGAGTAGGCTAAGAATTACTCGCAGATGCTCTCAGCTGCAGATTACTTCCTCATCTCTCTCCTTGCCACTCTATGCAGCTAATAAAATAAGAGACAAAACTCTATCCCACAGATTTCATATCGGTCTCACTAACAAAGCAAAAGTTGTCTACAGAAGCCTATGCCCTCCCCTTTGGGATTCAGTGCCTGATAACAAGTTGGGTTTCCCATTAATAAAGCTTTGCTTTTCTTTAGAGAAAGAACCCTGAAAAAAGTCGCTGCATATAAAATTCAACACCCTACTCCATCTTCTCAAAAGACAGCAGAACAGATCTTCCTCTGGACTGAATCTCCCATTTATTTATCTTCTACTTTCCCATGTTAAGAAAAAAAACGTGTACAGATGCTGTTTGGAATTTAAACCAAATTGAACTGGACCTACCAGTTTTTGCAACACTTTTTTTCTGGTGGTGGCATTCTAGAATTCAGTGTATTCATAGGTAGGATCTTCCAGAAGTTTAGATAGATAAGATATATATATATATATATGCTTCCTTCAGAAGCTTTCAAGACTTTTCAATAGAACGTGTGTTAATGAAATAGACTAGACATGAAAGTGAGAAAACAAAACTAGTAACTGTCTCTTGTTCCTTTCTCATTCAGAACTACAACAAAAGCTTGTCATGATGGGAAAGCTTTCAGCATGGATGCAGTGCTCACATAGCTGTAACTCAGACACATGAGCAGAAAAATGGTACCACATATAATGAAAATTTAATAATGAAGATTTAAATAGTGAAAATTTTATTTGTGTCTTGCAAGGCCACAAAAGCATAGTGCATACCAGTTGTCAAAAATGTACCTGATGTAAGGCTTCCTACTGATTTAAAGCACAGAACAGCATTAAAAATTTCCAATATTCACAGTGAAAATTGACATAAACTATAAATTCTTTGATAACATTCTCATTCAACTTCTTATCAGTTTTTGCTTTGGAAAAGCAAACTCAAAAGTAAATAGAACGAAGCAGGAAGAATCAAAATTTATAAATGAGCTAGCTTCAACTTCTTGTAGTATCCCTGCTCAACTTCCCCCTCTGCTTATCAGATCTGTACCCACATCACACCTCCACCTGAGCAATGTCTGAGTACCAGGGCGTTAAGCAAGGCTGCCTCTGTCAGTATTTCCCAAATCCCTTCTGTCAGTACTTGTCCACTTTGCAAAGAACACTTAAACATGCACTGCAGCAGAGGCTGAAGCTCAGGTGTTTCATCAGGATGAGAAGTGGCCAAGTACTAGGCTATGAAACCATTCTCACTTTCAATCTCTGTTGTTTACTTATTCTCTAAAACATTCTGGTCAGAATGGGAAATGTCAGCAGGAGGAACTCCACAACAGAGTTCTCCCTAGCAAATGGCAAAAACCAGTTTAGAAGCTGTGTAGGAAACTAAGTTTGGTTTTCCATAAACTCACAGCAGTACATTTGCCAAAGCCACTAATTGATGTAAAAATAGCAGCAGAGTTTTAGCAGTCTAGTTCAATTATCTTCTTTTTCTGACCAAAATAATTTGGTAGACATTTGGCAAACTGGGGAAAAAAAAGCAGCGTATGTTTTTGTAAATAACAATTATTTTTAAACCATCCATTTAATAAAATTTTATATTTAATATATTTTAATGTACAAATTTATAACACTTTAATTTATAGAGTCGTTTTGCAAATATTACAGTACCTCCGAGTAAGCACTGTGTAAATGTTAACCAACTGTTTTTCTCACTAGCAGTGTATTTCTAATCTCATTGGTTAACAACAACTGACCTTGTAAATACCTTTGTTAATATTCTAGGGAAAGAATAAAAGGGCTGCTCCTTCTCCTTAAATAATACAGCCCTCACAAACTTGTGTTTGCAAAATGGTGATTTTTTTTCTTTTCCCTACTTGGTCAAACTTCTTCAAAGCTCAGGGAGCCTTTTTGCCATGCGATTATATCAGAATTGCAGCTTTCTTTAAAAAGTTCTAGCCTCAGGACACCAGAGACAGGACTAAGAACTTAAACCTCATGATCTTCAAAGATAAATAAAAAGCCACTCAGAATTATTACTTTTATCTTCTCCCATGGGTCTGACTCATATTTGAAGACTGGTACTACTGCGACGGCTTGAAGGACAAAAGAAACAAAGACAATATCTGGCCTTGCTTTTGCAAGAAAAGAGCTGTACAATTTCACTCAGCAACTCCTGGTTTTCATCCCAGTTCTAAAAGCCTTGAATTCCTGTCTTCTATGCAGAAAGAAAACGCCTGCTTTTTCTTGGTTTATGTTCATGAGAAAAGAGCAAATAAATCCTATCCCCCTGTGACAAAGGGAAGGGGGGAAAGGGAGATAAGGCAAACTCATCTGCAATACATGCAATTGGAAATGCAAGTAATGTGGTTTTGCTTTCACAGATTTGGAGTGGTGAGTTCAAATTACATGCCTGTGATATCGTTCTGGAAGCTCTAACCTGACAGGACAGAGGGAAGGCACTGAGAGAAGCACACTGCACAGAGAGAAGGCTGTCATGTGTTGAAGAGAGTGGCTTACATGTGCCTCTTGTCAAGCCTCTCTGCAGGAGAGCATATTTCATAGAAACAACAGAACCACAGAATGGTTTTAACTGTAAAGGACCTTAAAGATCATCCAGTTCCAACCCTCCTCCACTGGCAGGGACACCTTCCACTAGAGCAGGTTGCTCCAAGCCCCTGTGTCCAACCTGGCCTTAAACACTGCCAGGGATGGGGCAGCCATAGCTTCTCTGCCCTGTGCCTGTGCCTCACCACCCTCATCTGAAGAATTTCTTCCTAATATCAAACCTAAATCTACCCTCTTTCATCTTAAAGCCATTCCCCTTTGTCCTACCCCTATAAGCCCTTGTAAAAAGTCTCTCACCAGATTTCTTTTAGGCCCCCTTTAGGTACTGAAAGGCTGCTTTAAGGTCCCTCTGTGGCCTTCTCTTCTCCAGGCTGCACAAGCCCTACTCTCTCAGCCTGTCTTCAGCCCTCTGATCATCTTCATGGCCCTCTTCTGGACTTGTTCCAATAGCTCCACAAGCTCCTTATGTTGGAGGCCCCAGAGCTGAACACAGTAATCCAGGTGGGATCTCATGAGAGGATATTCGGTAACAAAAACTAAAAGTCTGAAGCTGAACATCAGCATACAGGCTAGTGTGGGCTAGGTATGGACAGACACACGAAGAGTTGAAACACGTCTGAGGAAATACTCATTATAAGCCTCATACGAGAAACGCCTTATTAAAGATCTTTTGGTTACAGCTCATTGACCCTGAAGTAATTAGCATTAAATATCACTTAGGGAAATTGCTATCCTATGGTATCTGACATGGTGAAAGAATAAAAGAGGAACTCGCTCTGACTCATGTAGCTTTGAACTTTCCTTTGTAAATACCATGCAGCTTTCCCATCTAGTACTAAGTAACCCATGAGGTGAACTCTAGTCTGCAGGATAATGGAGTTAGGGACTGGACTCCTGCCTTCTTAGCAAAGAGGGCTACAGAGAGCTGTCACTGCGCATAATTCGCTCATTCTGTTCTGGCTGAATGGCAGTGCTCTCCTTCCTGGCATCCTTAGCAACTAAAATTATTGCTTCTGAGAACTCAAAAGCCCGAGGCTACACACTAGCAAAACAGCAGGCAGAACAGCAGAGGATGCTGAGGAAGCAGCTGGAAGAGGCTGATGGCGAGAAACATACACTTTCTCC